TTAGGCCCTGAGACGCTCAGGCAGGGCCTGGCCTCCAGAGGTAGTGCCTAGACCTGACCCCTCCGGATCAAGCAGGGAGTCTCATTAGCTGTGGGGTTTCTGTCCCAGCCCTGCTCCCAACGGGCCTTGGTCCCTTTCCTGGGTCTCCGTCCCCACACCTGTGCAGTGGGGGTCAGGAGCAGGCAATGTCTGAGCTCAGGACATTGTAGCCTAGATGGAGACTTCGTGCAGATCTGGGTGGATGCAGCCTTGTCATGCCAGCTTAGCAAGGAGATGACACCTTCGTGCTGGAAAAAGGTGCCCCGTGCCCAGATTGACAGCCTATTCCATAGTTCAGGGCTTGGAGACAGGAGCACAGGCAGGGTTTCCACGCCCTCCCCCTCCATCGGGTGCCTTTGTACAGGGTACACAATGCCCAACCTTGAACTGTGTGACCGGATCTGAGTTGGCACCATGGTACTTTCTGGGTCAATTGGCCAAAGGAGAAAAGGAAAGCGGCGAAGGATGGTGCTGTCTCAAGCTGCCCCCTGGTGGCCAGATGCTGCATGACACCCATGGCTCAGGAAAGGCATGCTCAGGTGAGTCTTACCTGTGTCTGTGCCTTAGACCTAGGGCGGGTGGAGGGGGGCCTCCTCCCTGCCTGCAGAGACCCAACACCCAGGGAAATCAGTCTCTAGAACTTGAGAAGGGGATTCCGTCATGAAGAGCCACTGTGGACCAGGCCGGGCATTTTAGGGACGAGCTCAGTGCACCTGTTTACTCACCTGGCTGGGAGCTTCCCCAGGACAGGGGCTGTCCTTGCCCCAGTGTCCCCAGTGTGCAGCACGATGGTTGTGTCTCCCCCGTCAGCCTGGGGGCTTGCCCTCTGTCTCTCTCTCCCCCACCTAGTCCAGCCGGTCACCCACGAGGGACCCTGACTTGTCACTCCACTCCCGCTGAAAACCCACAGTCGGAACTAAGAGTGAGCCCATTATTGAAGGTCAGCCTGTGTGGCCTTCTCGCTCCGCCCTCCCAGAAAGGCCCTAAGCCCTGGCCTTCAGGACCTCAAGACGGGCTGGACTCCCCGAGAAACGGGGAACCGGACTGGGAGCCTCATCCGGAAATCGATCCCACCGAGACAGACTGGTAGGAAGCTTCGTTTGCAGATGAGCAAACAGGATGGGACGCCCATTGCTCTTCAGAGAACGACCAGATAGGTCCCAGTGGGAAGTGCGGGGGGAGTGGGCTCCTGCCGCCTCCTCCCTCTTGCCCGCCCTCTGGGCTCCGGCCATCGGCCATCATGGCCCTCTCTCCCTCCTGGGAACCGTCCCTTCCTCCCACCTGCACACTGTTGCCGCGCTCTTCTCTCTGCCCAGCCAAGCCCTCCTCATCTGTCAGCTGTGGACACTCTGCCGCTGCCACTTCCCCAGGACGCTCCCTCCACACCCAAGACCAGATCAGGTCCCCCCATCCTGCGCCCTCCCCCCGGGGCTTCTCACTCAGGGCTGTGATCCTCAGAGGTCCTGGCTCCTTCCTGGCTTAACGCCTTCCTCCCCCAGGGGCCTCGTCTGGCTCATTCATGCTGTCGTCTCAGCAACACACAGTGCCAGGCACACAGTAGGTGCTCAGTAAGCATTTTCTGGATGAATGAAAGGTTGAAGCTGTTATTCCTGGCTATAACCACTTTCTAGATGTGTGACTTTGGACAAGGAGCGTTGCGTTCAGTCAGCAAATACTTACTGAGCATCTACTACGTATTGAGCCAGACTCAGGTCTGCCTGCCTCCCAGTTCCGTTCTCCTTCTGTCGCCCTGGCTCTGCCTTCCCTGAGAGAGCCGGTGCTGGGATGTGAGCAAATGCGAGGCCTGCAGCTGGGCGATCCCGGTCTGAAGTCTCTTCCTCTCCCACGGGTCCCCCAGATGTCATATACGTGTATACCGGTCCCTGGCGCCCCCCCATACACCTCCGCCTCCATACCTCCATATTGCCACCCTCTCTGCCTGCCACATCCCACTCAACCTTCAAAATGCCATGGCAGGGCCCCCAGCATCTCGAAGCCACCCCATGACCCTGCCAGAAGCAACTGTCCTCTCGCAGAACTTGGCCGGCATGGGGATGCTCCACTGTCCACCACGACCCGAGTTATTTATGCACGTGGCTCCCCCACGCTGCCTTGTCCCCCGCCCTCCCAAGGCTGCCTGGGCAGGGCCTGAGTCTGATTCACCACTGTGCCAGCTCTGTTGATTAAGCTTTCTCTGATCAGACTCTGCAGCATCTGGCCTCCACGCTCCAGCGCCCAGCCACGGGCCGGGTGCTCAGGGCCAGTGAATGTCCGTCATTAAATAGGCAAGTGGGGGCAGGCCACAGGGCTGGGGGCTCTGGCTGGATCCCCAAAATCATGACAGGAGAATGGGGTTCAGGGGGTGTGAAGGGCACAGCCTGGGCACTCTCCTCTAGTCCCTTCACCCGCCAGAGGTCCCTGTCTCCTCTCTCCGTGGACCGGTGGGGCCAGGAGCAGGCTGGGGGAGGGCAGTGGAAGAGCACAGGGCAGATGGGCTGTGGGCTGAGCTGGGAAGGACAGCCTGCCCCGGGGAAGGATAACCACGCCTCTCAGAACTGTCTGGGAATCTGGGAATCGTCTGCTTCAGCAGAATTCCAATGACTGGGAAGGTGAATGTGGCCGTGCAAGGGGGAGCTGCCCAACCCTGCATGGCCCAGTCTCAGGCCAGTGCCAGGGCTGGGCTGGCAGGCAGGAGACCTGGGTTCTAGTCTCCACTCTGCTATCAATTTGCTGAGTGACCTTGGGCAAGACCCTGCCCCTCTCTGAGCACCGGTCCATCCAATGAGAGTGTGGAACTGACCAGCGCTGATGCCGGAGGTTAGGATACCCAGAATCCCTCACGCCATCCCAGGGATGTCTCTGAGTTGGTGAGCAAGTGACTCTGGCTGGGGCCACCGCCCAGCCTCATCCACCTGTCCCCGTCTTAGGCTGAAGAGGGCACCGTGGGCTCCCCAGCATCCTCTCTGTCCTGTCCCCTCTGCCCCCAGAGCTGCCAGGCTGCCAGCTGGGAGCATCGGCAGCTGAGACCAGTGTCCTGCGTCATGGTGAGTCAGAACCCTCTGTCCAAGCCAGGTCCTGTCCCTCCACAACAGGATGAAGAGACAGGACGCTCCGCCTCCATGGCCCCGGGCTACACGGGACAGGACCCCGGAGCCTGGCCACAGGCAGACCCGCCTTTCCTTCTCCACACAGGGCAAGCGCACGGTTGGTCCTGCAAGGCATTGGGGCACCCGTGGTGGTCAGGACCGACTGTCCCTTCAGGGCCATCCTGCCCTCAGGCAGACTTGGGGGACAGAGCTGGTCTGATGGCTCCCTGAGAACCAAAATAAATACAGCACCGCCTACAACACTGTCTGGCTCACACGGACACACAGTAGGTGCTTCATACACATTCATTCAGTGGTTTCCTCGGGCTTCCCGTGGGTGTAGGGGAGTCTTGGCCAGGTAATAAATCATCATATTGTAGCTTGTTCGCTGTCACTATTATTTATTTTAAAGATTTTTATTTATTTATTTTTACAGAGAGGGGAAGGAGGGAGAAAGAGAGGGAGAGAAACATCAATGTGTGGTTGCCTCTCGCACGCCCCCTACTGGAGACCTGGCCTACAACCCAGGCGTGTGCCCTGACTGGGAATCGAACCCAAGACCCCTTGGTTTGCAGGCCAGCACTCAATCCAATGAGCCACACCAGTCAGAGCTCTATTATTTATTTCTAGCTCTAAGTTAAGTACCTACTGTGTGCCCGTCATTGTGCATATTTTGTCCCGTTAATCCTCACAGCAACCCCGTGAGGTGGGATTTCTGCCCCCAGTTAACAGAGGACAACACGGAGGCTGGGGAGGGGAGGCGACCTGCCCAAGGCCACACACAGCTGGTGAGATCTGAGTCCACATTCACACCAGCCTGCGGACACCCGTGGCCAGGCCACTCTCCACCGAGCCTTTACTGCAGAGAGGGCCGGGGGCCTGGGGGACAGAGAACAGGGTCAGCACCCAGTCCATCCCAGGCCCCGCCCCCGCCCCCGCCCCGACAGACCCTCGGGCTCAGACCCAGCCCTGCAGAGGCCAGAGCTCCGCGCCTGCCCCTGCCTCACACCGCCGTCATCCCTCAAGACCCTGCCGGGCCTTCACCAGGCTTTGAAGGCCACTGTAAACGTGGCTTCCTCCCTTGCCTGTGTGACAGGGACACAGTGACACTTCCCGGCGCACAGGTAGGCGTGAGGACGCCGTGAGATCAAGTGTGAAGGACAGTTCTCTGGACGCTGCGGGGCTGTGTGTGAGTGGAGGTTTGCTATGAGGAGCTGGGGGTGTGACTGTATAAACGTGCGAGTGTACGGCTGTTACACACGCGGTGGGTGTGTGCTAGTGTGTGTACAACTGTGAGTGTGTGCACGTGTGAGAGTGTTGAGCGTGTTGTGTGTTGGCAGGTGGGCGTGAGTGATGGGAGGGGGCCCTCGTTAGACGGGAGACCACGCTGTGCAAACCCTTGTGCCCCGGTTCGGGTTCGCATTGCCCTCGCTAAGCCGGCAGAGGCAGGTGCTGCCCCCTTGCGGCGCTGCGGGAGACCCCGTGGAGGGATGCACCCTCTGCACCCCCGGCGCGGGCCAGCATGCCCCAGGGAGGGGCGGTTGCCCTAGGCTAAGGGAGGTTGGTCAGGCGAGGCACCCGTCTGACCCCTGGGAGCCTGCCGCTTCCCCTGCAAAACTCGCGGACGATGGCGCGGTGGTCACCGCTCTCAGCCTGGTGTGTCTGGTCCTGGTTGGGTCCCAAACGCCAGAGGTCTCCCCGCCCCCACCGCCCCTTCCCTGACCTTCAGCCCCTGGCACCAGGCGGCGCGAGGTGAGGGTCAGAAGTACCATGCCCCCCAACTCCCCTCGTCCCCCAACACCCCACCCCCGCCGCGCCCCGCCCCCAGCCCAGCTGCGACAACAGGTGCTCTGGGCGGCGGCCCGGGGTGGGGGAGGGCTGGGAAGGGGCGGGCACCCTCGTGTGGCTCCGCGCTCCGGGTTCCGGGCGAGCGGTCCGCGGCCCCCCCTCCCCGGACACGCACGCCAATCCGCGGTGCTGGCAGGAGCTGGCGCGGGAGGCGGCGGCGGCGGTGGGAACCGGCCTGAGAGGCTGCGGAGCCGAGAGGAACCCCTGCCCCTTCCCTTCCCGCCCTCCCCCTGCGCCCGCGCCGCCACGCGTGAGCCCCAGGCTGCGGAGACATGATCGCCCGGCGGCCCGACGCACTCAAGGCGCAGCGGCCCGGCCTCGCGGCCCCGTGATGGGCTCCTGCGTGTCGCGAGGTGAGGAGGCCGCGGGCTGGTGGGGGTGGGGGCTCGGGTCCCAGCGCCGAGGACGCGCACACAACCCCTCCCGACGCTCCGAGAAAACTGGGAAGTGAGGGTGGGCAACGCGCCCTTCCTGACCAGCCGCACCCCCACCCCACTCCGGCTGAGCCCTAGGAGTCGCGGTGCCCCCCCTCCCAGGGACAGGGCGTGGGAGGATGGGGTGCAGCACGGAGAGAGAGGGCAGGGAGGTCGCCGCAGCCCCGGCCCCGCTGGAACCACGCCCTGGCAGGTGGCCTGAAGCCGGGTCACTGCCTTCCCGGCAGCCACACACCCCCTGCCGTGTGTCTTGAAGGGGCCGGAGGCTTCTGGCGGCTCCTGACCATTCCGGAGGGACTTGAGGGTGGGGGTGGGGCACCAGGAGGACATTCTCCGCGCCCCCGCCCCCAAAGACACAGGCCTTACTAGCTCCACAGCCCCCACCTTGTCCCCTTGCCCCATGTCCCTGCGCTCCGCGGGGAGCGAGGGTTTCATGGAGGTGAACAGGTTGCAAAGAAGGTTCCCAGTCCCTCACCACGCTCATGCCAACTCCTCAACCCCACCCCCACCCGGTCAGGCGGTGGGAAGGGACGGAGCAGCGGATGCTCTCTGTGACCCCCGCGCCTTTCTCTGGGTCTCTGAGCTGTAAAGGCCGCCCTGGCTCCCCTCCTCCCGGGCCGGAGCCCCACTGCTGTCCCCAAGGTGGCACTGGGAGCTGCGGTGAGCTTCCCTGGAGGGTAGCAGGCCGGTCTTCGGAAGCCTCCCCGCCACCAGCTCCCCAACAGGCTGCCGAGAAACACTTCAGAAGAGGCTGGCCCAGCGGTCCTGTCCCCTCACCTGGGTCTTCACCCCACGGTGCGAGGGGGCGGGGTGGGGGGCGGGGGTGAGGGTGACTGGCCAAATCCCCTGACCCCAACCACAGGGCCGTGGGGGGCTGCCACCCCACCCATCACCCCCAGGAGCTTTCTCAGGTGCAGAGGGACAAACAGGGCTTGGGGAGGGGCAGGGCAGGCCCGGGAGCAGAGGGGGCCTTGCCCTTGTGCGGGGGCTGTTGAGGAAGGAACACAGCGCCTCCCGCTCCGTCCTGTGGCCCCTGAGGGGCTCTGCTCACCAGTCCGTGGGGGGCATTCCGGTGAGTGGCTCGGGACATCTCAGGAGGGTGTTGGGGTGGGATCGTGGGTGGGGTTGGGCTGTGTGAGGCTCATTCACTTATTTATGAAGCTGGTACTAGTGTGACACCTACTGTGTGCCAGGCACCGTGCCCACTGGGCATCCAGCATTGACCAGCACCGCACCTGCGCCCGTGGGGCCTTCGTTCTGGCCGGAGTGGGGGGGGGGCAGTTGTGAGAGTGAAGAGTGTGTAGGGCTCCTCAGGAGTGACAGGCCCTCGGGGTCTCTCCTGAAGCCCCCAGAGCCCCCTGAAGCTCTGGGTGAGCTCCCCAGAGTAAGGGCAGACTCTGGGTGTTGGGGGACCTGGGATCTGGGGCCTCCTTGGTGACTGTCCCTTTCCCGTCACTCAGCCATGCCATGCAAGGGGCTAGGGGACTCGCCTGTGAGCAGCAGACCAGCTGAGCACAGTGTGGGGGCTGGGAAGAAGGGACACCTGCCAAGGTCACTGAAGGCAGGGGCAGGTCCCCCGGCAAGGTGTGAGAACCACCGGCCATCGTCCCCGAGACTCTGGGTGGCTGAACCACTGAGCGAAGGTCATGCACCCCTCTAATTGTCACAAACACTGTAACTGTCACTATCACTGAGTGTTTACAGTTTACCAGGTGCTGGCCGGGACCTTTCTAGGCACAACAAACTATTTAGTGGCATATACTATCACTGTCCCCATTTTACAAATGGGGACACTGAGCAGGGGGCGTTGAGGAACTTGCTCAGGGGCTGCCTGTAAGAAATAGCAGAGGCAGAGACACAGGCAGGACTTGAACCCAAAGCCTGGCCCTTAGCCTCTGCGCCCCACCACCAGCCCTCAGTCTCGGCCCTGCCCCTGCCCTGCCCCGCCCTGCTCCAGCTGCGGGCTTTCTTGGGCTTCGGAGCCCCAAGAACCTGGTTGGTCTCCACACCTGCCCCAGTGGCTAGTAGCATCCCCTTCTTTCCAAGCGCTTCCCTGCGCCAGGTGTGCAGCCTGCAACCAGGCCAGGGGTGGGAGCCTCATGCTGGGGCCGCCCCACCGAACCCTGAACCCCAGGAACACACCGCACCTGACACAGCCACCCCTTCTCGGCACCGGGCAGCAGTTAGCTTCTCGAAACCAGGCCTGATAGGTCAGAGCGGGGCCGGCCAGCCTCAGTTCACGTCCCTGCTCCACCCACACTAGCTCTGTGGCCTCGGCCAGTCACTTAACCTTGACTGTGTATCTCAGTGTTCTCATCTCTAGGATGGGAATAATACCAGTGTTGATGTCCTAGGGTTGCTGGGAGGGGACTGAACGGCTTAATTCACGGAAAGCACTCGGGCCAGGACCTGGTACATAGTGAACACTGGCAAGCGTTGGGTGTCACTTTCATTTTTATTATTCCCCTTCCGTGCCGACAGCTAATCGAGGGCCTCTTGGCTGGGAAAGCGGGAGCCACAGAGGCTTCGAGCGCCAACCTTTTCGCGGGAAAGTAGCGGGTGGCCGGCACGAGAGGTGCGGGGGACTCGGGGCAGGGGACTGGGACCAGGTTAAGGCCACTGATGCTGTCTCCAGGAGCTGTTTGGTGTGTTCGCCATTTATTTTTAAGCTATTGTCTGCTGGGCGTGTATGCGGAGCCAGGCCGCGCTTTCACCCTCCTGACCTAGTTAGTCCTCCTTCCACCCTGGGAGGGGGGCCGTGGGGCTCAGAGACAGGGTGAGTCTCACCAGAGGTCACACGGCCAGGCCACGGTGAAGCAGGATTTGACCCCAGGTCCGTGTGACCCCGGAGCCTGAGCCCAGAACCCCTGTCCTTTGCCACGTGGGGAGAGGCACCGGGAGCATGACCGGTGTCTGAAACAGCAACCGACCCTCCAGAAGAACTCCGGCGGTTCCTGTTTGGTGTGGGCTCCGCTGCCACCGCTGGTGACCATCCCCGTTGTCTGCTCCCCCGTCCTCTCCAGCGTCAGGGTCTCGCGTGCTCACCCTGTGCCCCTGGCGCCAGAACCTCTCTGCCTGCCCCAGCCTCCTCTCCAGGCCAGCCCTCAGCCTCTGGGCCCCACCCTCGGGGTCCCAGCAGACTGGGCACTGGCGGGGAGGGGGGGAGGGCAGATAGCAGAAATTGAGGAGATTGAGGACTTTCTTCTGGAAGGTCAGACACCTGATTGTATCTGGGAGAAGGTACAGCGCTAAGGGGGCTGCCCACAGCCACCCGCAGTACCCAGGGCCCGTTGACCATGACCCCCCATCCCCATTTCCAGCCCCTCAGTGTGGTCTCCCCTGGGCCCCAGCAGGGTCTTGCACTGAGCGCTGTGGGGAGGCTGAGGAAGTGGTAGATGGGTCTTGCCCTTTCGGAGCTCGCAGCCTCCGCAGGGAGATGCAGCCTTGCCCTTGGAGTAGTCCAGTGGGGGACACAGCGCACACACGCACGGAACATGGCCAGAGGACCTCTTGGGAGTTCAGCACTGGTTCGTGGCTGGAGCGCGAGCGTTGGAGTTTCAGACTAGCCCAGGTGTGAGCCCCGTCTCCGCCACTTTCTAGCTGTTGGCCTTGCAGAAGGGATTTAACCCCTCTGAGTCTTAGTTTCCCCATCTGGAAAAATGGGCCTAACAGCACCTACTTCGTAGGGTGGTTGTGAGGGTTAAGGAAGAGCAAGTGGGTGAAACGGTCCAGAACAGCACCTGACACATAGTAGGTGTTTAATAAACAGGCAGCGAATCGCTGCAGACCAGACTTTGCCCATTGGGACTGCTGGTAAGGGAATAGCTTAATACGGCTGAGGCCAATCTAGGCAGGCTGCCTGGAGGAGGTGAGGGTAGAGCGGGGTGTTCAAAGAAGTTGGGCCACAGGATGGCAGAGGAAGTAGAAAGGAACCGGGGTATCTAGAAGGTCTGGAGAGGAGCCCATTGTCTCTCTCTGTCCTTGGCTGGGCATGGAAAGGGACTCTCTTGGGCAACTCGGAGCTGCCCAGCTCACTGCTAAAGCCACCTGTGGGGCCCTGCTGGCCTGTAAGTGATCTTTCTGGGGAGCGGGGGGCACTCTGCCTACTCGAGCCTGGGCCTCTGCCAGGCTCAGGGGGGCGGCTGCTGCCGAGGCAGACAGGGAGGCCGAGGGCCCACCCGGGGTGGTCTCCCTCTGCAGAGCCCCCCAGGCAAACTTCAGCCCTGGGGACAGCACCAGAGGAGTGGTGACCCACATCTGTTCCTTGGTCCAGGAAGAGGACCCGAGGTCTGGGAGGGGAGAGGGACAGAGAGGCTGTCTGTCATTCGTGGGGTTTGTCCTGTGGCAGGGGCCTCCCTCTCACAGCAACCCTTCCCCGAGGAGTGCCATGGCCCCGCGTCACAGCTGAGACCCCCGAGGCTCCCAGGGGCTGGCAGTGAAGAGCCGGGATCTACGCCCAGGGCGGGACCTGTGAAGGAAAAGCCTTGCCCACCGTGTCCTCCTCAGAGCCAAGGCCAGAGCCTGGCACGTGACCACCCGGCAGCATCCACAATCCGTGGGGACTGGCTGGCCACACGGGTCCCGAGAAGCTCGGAGGGAAAGCCCGCGGCTGCCCAGGGAGGGGCTTCACGAGGGGCTGTGGACACAGATGCTGCTTGGCTGCTGTGTGGTTTCCAGAGGCGGTTCGCCCTCTCTGGGCTGCTGAGAAAGAACAGGTTCCCCACGGGGCCCTGGCCTCCCTCTGGGGGAAGGCGGCCACCCCGACGGTTAACGGGCTGGGACACGGGACACGGAGAGCCGAAGAACAGGTGAAGGGGCCAGGAGGCCCGGAAGCAGGCGTGGGGCGTCTGCGTGGTGTGCTGTCGCCTCAGCAAAGACACGCGCAGAGAACGCCAGTGCGGGAGCTCTGCAGCAGGAGG